AGGCTTTGTTGAAGTATCCACAGGCCCAGCGCCTCAGCTCCCAGTGGCTGCGAGTTGCCGTTTCCAGCCAAGGGGAGCTGCGGGTAGTGGCGTGGGTTAGGACCACCCAACTTGGAAGGCCGCTTCCTCTTCTCCGAACTTAAAGCAAGGTCGGGGTTTGGTTGTGCCAAGAAAATGGGAAGTGCCTGGAATGGGACTGTTTTCCATACCATGGAAAGGGAGGGGCAGTTTGGAGGGATGCTATATTCAAAGTGGCCACTGCAGAGAAACCCTCCTCCCCACCATAACCCCTCCTCAAACCTCACTCTTGCATCCTCCGTGCCCTCAGCCTCCTGCCCTGCCTCCCTCCATCCCGAAGGTCCTTCCCTGACTCCTGCACCCCACACACACCACCAGCCCCCAGCCCTGATGTACCTGGGCAATGCCAGGTAAATTTGCTAGCAAAAACTATTACAAATACAGGCTGAACCTCTCTGGTCTGGCACCCTCAGGACCTGACTGGTCCTCAATCAGGGAATTCACCACAGGGGAAATCAAAGTGGTGGGGCTCCGCTTCCCGCACCCGGCCGCTAGGCGGCTCTGCTTTTCCCTTGGGGCTGCCCAGAGCTCTGATCTCCCCACAGTGGACTCTGTGCTCCTGCTGGCAGCTGGGGACTCCACTCTCTTCTCAGCGGCTCCGCTGCTGCCTGGGGCACCGCTTCTCAGCCCCCCCAGTCTGGCAACACTCCTGGCCCCAGCCCGCCGGCTTCTCCCCGTGAGTGCTCCCAACGATGCCAACCAGGCCGTTGCCAGACGAGGGCCGTCCGGATTAGAGTTTCAACCTGTTCCGAAAGCTTTTGCTGAGTGTTGTACTTGGCCCTCTCAGGGTTAAAACTAAACTTTCATTTGCATAGCACCGGGCCTGCACTTGGGACAAGAACCTAACGAACCGCAGAGTGTTAATTGGGAATCAACGTAGGTCATATCCCGTGATTAGTCAACAAGCAACAGCGTGCAGCCATCGCCTGACCATCCATGGCTCTTTGCCCCACCTTTGTGGCTTGGCAACCACGCTGGCGCCATCACGAACCCACTCATGTCTCTCAGCTGACGGACCAGGTTCATTAGCTCTCAGACATCAGCAGATTTGTGCTTCTCGATGCAGAAGTCCTGGCTTTTGTCCCCACCAACCAGCTCTCCTGGAGCATCATGACAAATGATCACCTGGCTGGGGAATGTGAACTGCTGTTGTAGCTAAAAGGTGTATTTTAGTATTGGTTATAAAAATGTAAGTGTGGCGCATAATGATTTGCTTGTAAGTTCTGTAGGCTTCTATTTTACCCGGTTTCTCGTGATTAGACAACGTCTGCACTGCAAACGGAGCTGTGTTTTCTGGTAACTCCAGCACTCCTTGTCCAGAGAGCACTGCAGATTGTTTGGTGTGAGTGAAGGGAGCATGGGAAAGTCATCAGGAAGGTCCAGCTGGTCAAGACGACTTGAGACACTTGGAGGTGATGAGAGAACATCCCTGGTGCTTGTGGCTGGATGAAGGCTGAAGAAATGGGCAGAACAGCCCAGCCCTGGCAACAGGAAGACACTCCCAAAGGGGGGGGAGACAAACAAAAGGAGAAGAAGCTTAACAATGAGCATCAAAGAATAACTGAAAAACCCGAGATTAACACCTTTAAGGATAAGTGACTGCAGCATGACACTGCAATGCCCATAGCCTCAAATGGGAACTTTCCTAAAAAAAGGGAGCTTTTGCCCATCACATTCAGGGTTCAGTGCTGCAAGCCAAGCCTCATGAGGAACCCCCACTCCTCCTCAGTCAGCCTTGGCTGGCCAGCAAGACGGACTTGAGCCAGGACAGACTGGTAACTATGGACCATCTGCAGCACCTGTGTGTGTGTGGGGATCTGTGTGTGTGTGTGTGGGGGGGGGGGGTTGTCTATGAAGCTGCTTTTCTACTGTATTCTCCATAAATGCAGCATGTTGCCTGTGTGCTTTTTATAAGCATAACACTGGGGATGTCTGAGGAAAATCAGATCTGGCTGCCCCAGCCATGGAGAGTGAAACCCATGCTCATGCTATGTGCCTAGAGGGTTGTGACTCTAAACTACTGCCTCCCAGCTAAAGGAGCTATCTCTTTAAGACCATGAGCCTCTGCTGCCCGAGCTAGAGCAGAGGGTCCCGACTCAGACCCTGCGCACAACCTGACAAAGGGCATCATTACACATGGACGTGGCAGGAGAGGTGACACCCAAAGACAACGCATGATGTTACAGAGCGGACCCCTTGTAATGGCCCTAGATAGATGATGCAAAAGCGACAAGAAATCCTGTGGCACCTTATAGACGAACAGATGTATTGGAGCATAAGTTTTTGTGGGCAAAGACCCACTTCGTCAGATGCATGTAGTGGAAATTTCCAGAGGCAGATATAAATATGCAGGCAAGAACAAGGCTAAAGCTAACGAGACAAATTCAGTCAGGGAGGATTAGGTCCACTTCTAGCAGCTAATGTGGAGGTGAGAATACCAAGAGAAGAGAAACTGCTTTTGTACTTGGCTAGCCATTCACAGTCTTTGTTTAATCCTAAACTGATGGCGTCAAATTTGCAGATGAACTGTAGCTCAGCAGTTTCTCTTTGAAGTCTGGCTTTGAAGTTTTTTTGCTGCAAGATGGCTACCGTTAAATCTGCTCCTGTGTGTCCAGGGAGATTGAATGTTCTTCTACAGGTTTCTGTATATTGCCATTCCTAAGATCTGATTTGTGTCCGTTTATTCTTTTACGTAGGGACTGTCCAGTTTGGCTGATGTAGGTAGATGATAGTGGCTGATAGTTCGGTGAACCCAGTGTCCGCAAGATACCAGCTGGAGCTGCCTGTTAATTACTGGAAGCTGCAACTTCACTTCACAGGGAGGGGCTGCCTTACAAATTCGGAAATCGGGCCTTTCCAGGAAGTTCTGGAAGAGACCCAGCTGTGGGAAGGTGCCCCTCAAACCTTACAAGACCTGGAACGTTGCAGTTTAGGTGGCTCCCCAGGCTGGGTGCTTTAAGACTGTCAGTATCATCTAATAATCTCAGATCTGGGAGGTACAACTCCCCAGACCCTCTGGTACCGACTTGTCAGTGCTCTGTCAACGTGAACCGAGTTGCACAGCAACGATCTTGCCATGGTTCACTCCAGCCTTCCAGGGCAAGGACAGAATGAAAATGCAGCAACTCCAGCCTCAGAAAACGTTTATGACTCCCAGGGTGTGATTCTGCCCCAGAAAACCGTGGAGTTGTTACAGAAAAGGGAATTCTATCCGCCACCCCATAAAAATTGCCTCACAAAGGGAAGCAAAGCTATTGATTCTTAGAACTGTCTGAAGTCAAACTTAACGAGGAGTTTGGCAAGCCGGAGACGGAACAGCAGACTAAAAATAGTTTTATATTTTTACCCAGAAGGAACCTAGCAACCCTTTCCACAGAGGCTACCGAGCCAAGGTAAGAAGAGACCGTGGAGGTCTCAGCTCCACAAGTAAATGATACCGGCCATTGGGCAGGGCTGGATCCTGTGCAGAAGTTAAAACAGAAAATAGTGAGTCTGTGCAAATATACCATCGCAATGCTGCAAGAGCAGGGCCCAACGTTAGCAAGGTGGCAGGTGCTAGCTGGGAAATGTTTAGAGCAGAGATGGGAGAACACCACACATGCTGTGAATGGAGCTGAAGACTGAAGCTTGCACTTTAAATTGTAGCGAATCCATCGCTCCCTAGGACTTCAGGGTTGTTGCTATGCAACACACCATGGCCACTTGGAATTTATAGCAACAGTGGCAAGGAGAGAACAATTTTCCAGTTTCAGAAACACAGGCTCCTACCTCATGAGCGAAGGGAGAATCTTCAGGACCTGACAGGCCTTTTCTGCTGTGCCTGATCTCAGCAGCTCTGCTTCTGTCCAGCAGCTGAGCGTGGTGCACATTTGCACATACACCAGTGGGTCACTTTCCGTGTTCCCGCTAAGCTGAGCACTTGGGAAATGCCTCCCAGCTGATTCGCAGGGTGCCCACAGCTAGCACCAGCTGGCAGCATGTGTTTGTATGGGTGGTGCCCATCCACATATACCTCAGTGCGTGTAACAAAATTTATTCTGCACATGGATGGAGACAATTAGAGGGAACATTGGTCAGTTCCCTGTAACATATTTTAGAAATGAAAATTCAATGCTCTGTGAAGGGAAGAGGGTGTGGAAGAGAGAAATCTGAGGCTAGAAAAAAGCATTTTGCAACCAACGAAAAGATAGTTTGGAAAGAACATGTGTGGGATTCCCCTGTCGTCTCCACCTGTTTCTAAATGAATAGCTGCTTCTGCCCTACAGGAAAGATTTTGCCTTGAAAGGTTGTTTTCCAGCATGATTAATCTCAACAAGCAAGGGTCACATACGAGCTCAGGTGTCATGCTCCCATTCCTACCTGGATGTACTACGATTTGTTGATGAGATATTTATATGCTATCTGCCACAATCCATGGGCTGTTTCTTGCTCCAGCCCTTCAAACGTATCCAGCTTCATATCACAACACTACGCGCCATACATCAAGTGGTTTCACCATTGACTTTGTTGTGTTCATCAACAGAGCAAGAGTCCCCTACGAATCTGTGGCTAACGAACAAATGCACTCTTTGTGTAGCCCGACAGTCATTAGAATAGGACAAAGATTTTCAACAATACTTGGTCTCTACCTGGTTGCCTCGTAGGAATATTTTGAAAGGTCTCCATGAGGTAAAACTGAGTTCATCATCCAGCTTCCATTGAATAGGTTCATTGGAAAGAACTTTTATGAATGAAATACTACACCCTGTCTCCAGCCCATCTTCTCACAAAGAAGAATCCATGCCACAGGCTGGAAAACCCATTCACATTTTTTTTAAACCTGCTTCAGTATAGATTCAGGGAGATCCTGGAAAGTTAAGTGTCTCTCACCCTTCAGCTTGTAAAACATGGGCCTACAACTCCACAGGGTCAAAAGCTCTTACCATCTTCAGCAGTGTTCTGTTGTCTCGGAGGGACCCAACCATTCCAATAAAGGAAACAGCAAACATTGTGATGCCCAGAAGGAGGAGAAGCACAGCCGGAGCTAGGAAAATCCCTTCCAAGGTTCTGTGCTTTTGTCTTTCCACTTCTGCATAGATCCCAATGCAGAGAATCACCAAGCCAATTATCTGCAACAGAAACACATACATTACGTCAGACATAAGGGCTGCTGCAGGGTTACAGTAAAACAAACCCAGCTCTTATATGGAGAGACAGAAGGGTGAGATCTAGTGTTAAACTCACCAGGGCCTGGTTTTGGTCTCATTTTCACCAACGTATCACGAGGGATGGGTTAGAAAACTTGATTTGCCATGGTAGCCACCCAACACCGGGCACTGACGACTCCACTGAATTGCTTTGGCCCGGCTGTGGCGACCACAGCGAAGTGGATTTGGCATTAGTGATTAGCTCCAATGAAGCAAATGGAGTTCCATCAGGGCAGAAAGCAGAGAGAGCAGAATGCCTGGGCCTCTAAATTTGTATTAAAAAAAGACCCGTCTCAGCTTGGACCTTCATAGCCCAGTCCCCACACTCTGCATGCCTGAAATCCAAACTCCAATCTGGCTTTTGTAAATGATAGTGGGCAAACAAAACACAGTCCAGCTGTGAACGTAACCCAAACATTAGGAACTTAAATGTGAAGTCAAAGATTGCAGCTCCAGCCCCCTAATACCCGTGGAAAGTGAAACACCCAGTGACTGCCTGAATTAGTGTTAGGATTAGGCCAACCCTTGCCTACAGACAACCCCCTACCCTGAAGCAAATTTTTTTCCAGCAACCACACATCATACCTCAGACATTCACCCAGGAACCTACTCCTGCTATAAACCCCGTTGCCAATTCTGTCTACACATCTGTACAAGCAGCAACACCATTACAGGACCTAACCACATAAGCCACCACATCAGAGGCTCATACAACAGCACATCCTTCTAATGTGATCTATGCCATCAAGTGCCAGCAATGCCCCTCGGCCGTGGCTATTGGAGAAACTGGACAGTCTCTGCAACAAAGGTTAAACGAACACAAGTTGGATATCAGAATTGGTAACACAAATGCCCAGAGGAGCACATTCTAACTTACCTGGGCAATCATGACAGGATTTAAAAGCAGCCATTCTTCTACAAAGGAATTTCAGGAACCAACTAGAGAGATATACCTATCTCATAGAACTGGAAGGGCCCTTGAGAGGTCATCGAGTCCAGTCCCCTGCCCTCATGGCAGGACCAAGTACCATCCCTGACAGATTTGCCCCAGATCCCTAAATGACCCTCTTAAGGATTGAACTCAACCCTGGGTTTAGTGGGCCAATGCTCAAACCACTGAGCTATCCCTTCCCCTGAAAGGGCAGAACTGGCCGTCATATGCAAATTTGACACCGTCTCTCATGGCTTGAACAAAGACATGAACTGGATGGGCCGTTATATTCAAATGAAATCAAAAGCTAAATAGGAGACACTTGCAGCCCACTCAAATAGCCTCATTAGCACCGGCACTTCTGTTGACAGGGTTTCCCTCCCCCACTTCTTTTTCTGTTATAAATCTGGAGGTTCCACCTTTTTTTCTCCACTCATCTGAGGAAGTGGGTTGTGCTCACGAAAGCTCATGATATTATTTATATATTTTTGTTAGCCCCTACGGTGCTACAGGGCCCCTCTTTATTTTTTAGAGGGGAGAGGGGGTACGGAAAACCAGGGACCTTGGGAACTGATGCTTTTCGATCCCCAGCTTGAGTGAAAAGGCTCCATATTGTTCCCGCTGACACAACAAGTTATTATGTAAGGGACAGAACAGCAGGTAAATGAAATGAAATGTAAGAATTAGACAGCAAAGAGCAATTAGTTATCTGAAGGCTGTAGCAGCTTGAGCTGCAGCAGTGACATTTTAATACCTGCTGTAAGTCTCTGGGCTCAAGAGCAAACACCTGCTGCCTGCATTTTAAAGCTGCTGAGCACCCCCAAATCCTTCTGGATTCAACAGGTGCTCAGGACCTGTCATCACTGCTCAACATGTTCCTCTGCTGTTTACTCCATTTGGATGTGATACATTCCTTTGCTGTGCAGGGGTTTTTCTGGCTCTTCCTCATGGAATCATCGAATCGTCAGAGAATCCTAGGATGGGCAGAGACCACAGGAGTCATCGAGTCCAAAGCAGGACCAACCGCCCAAAGCAGGACCAACTGCAACTACATCATCCCAGCCAGGGCTTTGTCAAGCCGGGACTTAAACACCTTTAGGGATGGAGATTCTGTCCCCTCCCTAGGGAACCCATCCCAGTGCTTCCCCAACCTCCTAGGGACATAGCTTTTCCCTCATATCCCAGCTAGAGCTCCCTCACTGCAACTTGAGACCATTGCTCCTCGTTCTGCCATCCGTCACCACTGAGAACGGCTTCTCTCCAGCCCCTTTGGATGCTCATAAGTACAACTACAGCGGGAAAAGCTGTTCAAGAGGCCGTGCTCTCTAAGTTAGCTCATTAGAGATGCAACACTCCATTATGGATAGAGCGCTGGCCAGGGTACTGGGCTAGGAGTCAAGGGACATGGCCTCTGTGCCCAGATCTGCCACTGGCCTGCCAATGCGGGTGGGGGGCAGGGTTGATTCAAAGGGCTCTGGCCACTGCTACCCTTGACTGCCGCACCACCCATTTCGGGCAGCGTGAAGGGCTGGAGCAACTCACACTATGCTCCGGGTGGCACTGAGGGCTGGCATGGTGCACTCCGGGCTGGCTGCTCCTGGCCCCGCCCCTTCCACCTGAGGCCCCGCCCCTTCTGGGAGCAGGAGCCAGAACCCCTCTACACCTTGCCCAGAGTCCTGCAGAGGCTGTCAGGGCCCCTGGATGTGGAGCAAGTCGCTTTTCTGATGTTCGCAGCAAACAAGCAGAGACGTCTGATCCAAATGTAAAATACTCTTTTGAACAGGCTGCAGCAGAACAACCTTTTACTTTCTTGAAATCCAGAATCTTAACACACAAGAACCAAAACCAGAGAGAAATCGACAACAAGCTGCTCCATCGTGCCAAGAGACATGGCTGCCCAACACCCAGTCTCAGCTGGCCTGCTCCCCCTACAGACCTTCCTAGCCTGAAAGCAAGCCCTGCAAACCCCTTCAAGAGCTAAGGAATGTTAAGACGGGTTTTCAATATAGTGCCACTTTCCTTCTCTGTGCCTCCATTTCCTCTTCTAAACCCTTTGTCTGCCTTCTCTGTTGAAACTGTAAAGCTTCGGGAGCATGGATTGTCCCAGGTAGGGATATAAGCAAATGCTTATCAGATAGTCGGCTCAACTACACGCTCCCCCCGCTTGCTACCTCTATCAGCGAGAAAAAGCTGCTTAAAAGCCGCCCCCCCAGCACTGTCTTCATGGGGAGGGGTCAGGGGCATAATGGGGAACTAGCAGCGCTTCCGCCTTTGAAGTGTAGCAAGAGTGGGGCTCTTGTATATTTCAAAAGCAGAAGCGTCAGGGGAGCAGGGGGTGAATGGGGAATGCAAGCAGTCCCCCGCTGGCCCTGCACTCCCTGCTTCTGAAATGTACTAGAGCCCCACAGGGTAGGGTAGGACCTTGATTTTTAAGGATGTTTATGGATATGAATCATTTCATTAAGCATCACAACAGCCCTGCTGGATAAGCAAGTGTTACCCCTGTTGGATTCATATCCGTAAAGAGCACGGAGATCTTTGGATGAAGGCATGATATAAACGAGCTCATTACTAAACATTCTGAATCTGAATCTTCTTCAAAATATAGCAAAGGATGGTCAAAGGTCAAACAATGTGTTCTCTCAAGTCTAGCTTCGGTTTCCCAGGGGACAGGCTATAATTCTTAGGAACCATTCTACAGGTTGAACTTCACTTGTGTAGCACCCTCAGGCCCAGACCCGAACCAGAGAATTTGCTGAACTATGGTAGGTCAATATTGTCTAGCAACATTACCAACACTGCCACGGCTTATTAGCCTCTAAGACGACGTTTACGGGTAAATTAGAGGTAAATAAAGCACAGCACACTGAAAGCCAGGACTGGTTGCTGTAAACAAACTTTATGGGACCACGGAAAACTTGGATACACTCATGAGAAGTGGACATCTGGGTAACTAAAATCATGCCTGACCATGGATGCCGCTGGATCAGAATGTGCTGGACTAGAGGAGTTTAACCTGTACCACATGCACAGCGTATTAAAAAGATCTTCCATGATTCTCATAAGGGAAGCTTGACTTTGTCTACTAACCTAGACTTGCTTTGGTTTCATATCAGTCAAATATAGTTTCTAATATCCCTTATATACCAATGCCAAGCTGCAGAAATTCCATGTAAGACAGTGAAATTACACCAGTGAGATTCTAGTTACATGAGATCTGTGTCACACCCCATGTCTCTTTTCCTTAAACTGTTCCAAGCGGGCAGTGTCTTCATCTAGCCACTCAAGTGTCAAACTGGATTCTATTCCTGGCTCTACTATTAACATGCTGCATGACCTGAGGAAGTCGTGTCTACATGCGACTCAGTTTCCCTATCTATAAATTAAGCTAACAACATTTAATCACCACTTGAAAGTGCTTTGAGATCTATGGTTGTGAAGCACTATGAAAAAGCAACCTATTAAGAGAGTCTTCCCACATCCACTTCCTTATTGAGATAATCCTAATTTAAACAGAGAACACAAAAGTTTCTACAAAACAGTCTCCTACCAAGGGAAGGCTGAAAGCTCTACAGCTAAGAATAACCTCTTGCACACATGCAGATTAAGTTGATGGGTGACAATTTCTCTTAGCCACTTGTGTTCTTCAGATTGAAAGTGGCAATTAGTTCTGAAGTGCTTCGTAGTGTCAAAAGCTGGTGCAGAAATTGGGGAGGGGGGAGACATGATTCCTTCTCAGCCAGCTTCAAGCTGACATATGAAAAAGTCAGCAAGAAAACACAAAGTGCACTCAGTCTCAACAACCCTTCATGCTTTTGCAAGCACTACAGGGGACAGTTGTTTCCAGCCCCTTCAGTTTCTTTTTCTGCTGGAAAGCGTTATGGGGGATTTGAAATCCTGCAGTGTGAGAATTAGCCCAGTGACAGTCTGCAAGAGTCAAGTGCGCCTGGGAGGAAGCTCAAATGACTGACCCTGGGTTGTCCCCTCAGCC